TTTTTTTTTAGAAATCAACAGTTTGCATTATGCTAATTAAAAATCCTAACCAATAATGTAGGGAATAGCTAGCCAACTGTTGTAGTCTTAGTTGTATGTTACTTCATATTATAGTTATATCAATGTAAATCATTGTTTTCCCTTGTGTTTCTCATTCTTTCCCTGCCATGTCGTAAAATGTGGTGAAGCCATCGCTGTATTTGCTCCAAAGCAAATATTGGCCTTTCTAGTTTTGTGCCCTGTTTCAATGTTCTTTTGTTTTCATTATTTGCAATTAGACTTCGGGCAGGAATTTTGTACTCTTGTTAAAGACCATATGACACCAAAAAATATCTGCAAAATAAGTACAGTCAAAAGTGTACAGTCACTTGAAGTTGGTTTTAATTATGGTGACACAGAAATTGAGTTTGTACGACCTTCCTAAGTGTATTTTTGGAGACGCTCCGGCATGCTTCCCAATCACCCGCCATGGGCATCTCTTTTTGTATCTCTGTTTTATTTTTGCATTTCTCAGTACTTTTTCCTATCTTTGCATTCCTGTGCTTCAACACAGGGTGATGGCAGCTCAGGAAAAAATACAGAAATGCAAATAAAATATAGAAATGCATAGAGATGTGATTACTGGTAATTGAAAAATGTTTTGACAGTAACCCTTTTGTTGTTAGGCCACACCAATTTAACTTGTTGTTTCTCTTTTTTTTCAGAAAGGATTAGGAGCGACAGGGCGAAATTAAAAACAAAACAGGCCAAGGCACTCCATGATAGCCTGAAATGTTACATGAAGCCATGGAGTGAACATACCAGGCTGGTTTATAATTAAAACAATAGATTTTGAACTTTTAATGAAACAAAATTGCATTGTTACATTGAAAAACTGAAGAACTAGGAAGAAAAGGACTTTTTTCAACCGTTGGGGCCAAATATGTCTTTCATTGAGCATTTTGCAGTTAATTTAGAACCCCACCCCCCCCAACTTTTTTTTTTTTGTCAGCATGACTACATTAAACTTGTCAGCATTTCTCACCTCTGCTCCAGAATAGTTCTGAGTTTTCTGCACGAGCCAGTCCACATCCAGGTCTGGGCTGACTGGCATAGTTTGGAATTGTATCTTGAGGATCTCACGTCTTGTGTCGGCATCAGGCAGTGGTATGTACAGGATACGATCAATTCTTCCTGGTCTCAACAACGCCTGCAGGAAAGGACAGTTAGTATATGTCTTACCAGTATTTTCATTATCATAATTTATGTGATCTCAACTTTGAATGGCAGGAGCAGTGGCTTTAATTGGACAATGCTGCTTCTGGATCACAAACTTGGGACTTCTCCATGCCCGTAGCCAGGGGTTCGGACACCCCCCCCCCACAAGGCTCAAAGGTCCGCTTTTTGGTCCACTTTTGTATCTAAAGGTCCAAGATTTTTCTTCAAAAGATAGACTGATTCAGCGAAGCTGGAATTGTAGGAAAATGGCTCACTTTGCCATTGAATAAAGTTATCTCTGATTTTTTGTTTGAAATCCTCTAAGAAACGCAGGAAATGCCATTTCAGAAGGTTCATTTTTCAAAATTTCCGGGGAACATGCCCCCGGACCCCCCTAGGAACCTCGCGCCTACAACCCTCGCTGGTCCCTCAAGCAGTGGGAAGAACCCCCCATTCTAAATCCTGGCTACGGGCATGTTCTCATAGTGATACTACTTATACTGAAGGGTTTGGGGAAAAAGCTGTCCAATCTGGACAGTGGGTGAAAAGTGCAGTCCAACCTTTTCTGTGTGGGAGAGCCTAGGAAAAGTTTTTTGACCTGGGAGGAGACCCTTAATTTTTAACCCCATCCCTCGACAACTGGTCCTGCTGCTGCTATATATAGTACAGTCCTTAAATAGACAAAAACAAATTGTGATTAAAGTGGTATTGACTATAGAGTTATCGTTCAAGCCTTTCAATGATGTAGTTAAGTATAGACTTGCTTACATGAAAAGGTTGGTTTGTTTTCCCCTTGACCAGACTGGACTTCTTTTCTTGCCATCTGGACTGGACCACATTTTCCACCAACCCCAATTGTACATATCTCAGACAAAAGTCCACTGACAAACCTGTTGTGATGGCCATCTCTTGTACTGTCTGCTGTGTGAACTTTATAATTACATGTATAATATATATCTTATTCATCAGGAACGTTGTGCAAAAAGGCATTTCTTTGTCATACCAGACGTTTCTGAGTTTCTGTGGAAGCCAACTCTCAGCTTCCAAAGAATAAATACAATGCAATTATGTGCAAGCTTCCCCTGTGTGCTGTGTGTGTATGTGTAGGGGGAGGGGGGTAAGACAGTTTTGACAATGGAGGAATGCTCATTGCTGGGTGTAACTTCCAGAGGTGGTCAAAAGTCACAAAAGTCCTCCTACTCAGCAGGAGGCAGACAGAAAACATTATTATCAATCAACAAATCAAAGGTCAAGTAGGACTGCTACCAGAGCTGTCAGTATTGGTTCTTCAAAAATTTCTTAGGTACTGCTGAGGTCCAAAATACCTAATCCCTAAGTACCTGGTACTGTACCAAAATAATTTCACAATAATTATATTTTTATTAGTGACCTAAAATGCATAAATAGCTGGTCCCCCATATGCATGGGTCCCAATGTAGGCCTCGAAATTAAGTTTTCTTCCTACTGTCCCAGCACTGTCCCAAAAATAAATTCCAAATGTCCCAAAGTGAGGCTGAACTGTCTGAACCTGTTGTTTGGGGAAGTATAGTATGACTTTAACTTGAAGTCAAGTTTATTTTGCTTATGCTCACTCCCAGGCGCACTATAATTGCAGAGTAGACACAAAATTTGGGGGGACTTTTCCGGATCCAACAGCTGGGACGTGTGCCTGATAAACAAAAGAAGGGCTGACATTCTGATGTTGATTATTTTTCTATTGTCCCCAAAATGTCCCAAAGTGTCTTATTAGTTGTCCCAGCCTAAATTTTAGTGGTCAGTGGCCATTGGACCACCTTTAATTTTAAGTGTGTTTGTTTTACAGACTGACAGTGTACTACCCCAAAAGATATCAGCTATTCTCCCTATAGTTGACACTTTCGTCAGGTTTTGTGGCCATGAGGGTACTATAATTATATTATATTCAAAGGTAGAAGAAAATATCTTAGCCCAATTTTGTGTAAGAATTCTCCATAAACAACCTTTAACTACCAAGTTTATTCAATTAGGCCACAGCAAGTAATTTTTATGGATGACATCAGCGCGGGCATTAATTTTTAGATTTTGGATTTATAAAAAAAAAACAAGAATTTTGTTGCCTTCTGACAGTGGTCACCATGCCGAAAATGGGCAAAGATGTCTGTTGCCATGCCGGAAGGTGGATGGCAGATAACTAAAAAGAGAGGAGACAAGAAAAGGCTCTAATTTAATGTTTTGTTTCTTACTTTGATGCTGGCTGTGTATATGTGATGTTCTCACTGAATCAAAACCATTTGTACAATAATTGAGTCAAAATTTTAAAATATAGGAACCTTGTTTTTTTTCGTCCTGCTTTGTTTTTTTTCGCCCGCTCGCATTAGATTTGGAGTCTGCTGAGGATGCCATCCATAAAATTAACTTGCTGTGGCCTTAATAAACTTGACAGTTATGAGGTCTCAGGGTTATAATGTTTTGTCATAAACAAACAGTAGCTAAACTGGTTTATTGAAAATTATAAAAGGGACAGTTCTTATAGAGCTATGTATATAATACATATGTCATTTGTGCAAATAAAAAAACATTGGCGGACAACACATGAATTATAAGAGATGTATTGAAGTTTCCTGCAGTACCACTGTATCCTGCTAGGATCTCTTGTCTACGTTGTAAGTATGACCACCTCAAAACAATGGACTTCCATTGGGATTGTGACTCTTATGTGCTTTGGGTAAACTAAGGATATATAGGAAGCAAGAATGGTATACCGGTATATGTGCGGTACCTATCATACGCTTTGCATAATCATATTTGTCTCATTGATTATGAAAGTAAGGTAGTAATCAGTATACTTTCATTCATGGTTTTCTCAACATACATTACAATGTACAAGAAAAAGTCCTATCCTTTGTTTGGCAAGGATTAATTTCAACATTTCATCATAACTTATGCAAATTACATTCACATTAACATAATATATGCATAGTGGTAATCATCTTTCATTTACTTACACATGTCAGAAGTATGAAATTCCAACCATTTACCAATTACATGTATTAGGCCATGCTGATTTGATTAAATGGATGACAGCTGTATGTGCATGAATTTTGGTCTGTTTCCCCGAAGAACGTTTTTGACCATACTGTACTGGTAAATCATACAAAGTAGCTGTAAAAGGAGCAAATATATGCTGAAAATTGCAAAAAAATAGTGCAGTAACAGGATCAGTTATCCTAAATTGTGTTTGAATTTGGTAAGTCATAAATTATAGCTTCTGTGATCATGATGATGAATATGTTTTGTCTTATCACAAAGGTCAGAATCATGAATGTAGATGTATGATTTAGTCGGTTTGTCACCATCTATATCACTATATGTTTATTGAGATACCTTGTCATCATGAAAGTTGATCCGATTTGGTAGTAATCATAGACTTTATTCTACTCAAACAAGGACAGAGAGATCAAATCTACAATGACAACTGTCGGATAATTAATGACCAATCACTTCCGAACGTAAACTGGCAACAGTTGTGGTTACAGACATGTGACCTTATTCACACAAAACTTTAAGGATACGTGATGTCAGCAATTGCTCAAATGGGTCATCGTCCACCGTCTTTATTGGTGGAGTGATGGCTGGAGTGCCCTGATATATGGCCTCCTATATACATTGTTTAGGCCACACCAATTTAATTTGTTGTTTCTCGGATTTTTTCAGAAAAAATATGAAGCGACAGGGCATAAAAAAAAAGGTACCCCATGATAGCCGGAAATGTTACAATATGAGCCATGAAGTGAACATACCAGGCTGGTTTATAATAAAAACAATAGATTTTGAACTTTTAATGAAACAAAATTGCATTGTTATGTTGAAAAATTAGGAAGAAAAGGACTTTCTTCAAGCAACCGTTGGGGCTAAAATATGTCTTTCATTGAGCATTTTGCAGTTAATTTAGAACACCAAAAAAAAATTTTTTTTTCAAATCAGAAAAAAATGGACAGGGCGATCCGAGAAGCAACAAATTAAATTGGTGTGGCATAATAATTACATTTGCAAGTTTATGCTCAGAAGTAATTGGTCATTAATTATACTGATAAAGGCGACAGTGGTCGTTGAAGATTTGATCTCTCTGTCCTTGTCGTGTTGGAATAAAGTTAAACATTGCACTCTGGGATACCTTGTCGATCATGTCCGGACGGTTGGTGGCAGCCACGATGGTGACATCTCCCAGTCTGTCTACTCCATTTATCTCTGTCAGCAGCTGTGCCAGAACACGGTCTGCTACACTGTTTGCCCCACCAGAGCTGCAGGGACAGACAATACAGGGTTCTTCGATGAAGGTTAGACATCCAGGTAATACGATACGCCAAAAGTTTGTGCTTATAAACCTGCATTTCCCCTCTGATCTCTCAGTCACTGACGAAAGCTAGTGGATACTAAGCTGAAACGTCTGACGTTTTCAAAATCATATCCAGTTGCTTGAGTAACTGCTTTTTGGCGTAATACAGGGATCTAGCTAGCGCGAAGTAGCGTAGGGGCCCCCTACGCTATAATTCTGACCCCCTACGCTAAATCCCCCCCACGCTAATTTTCAATACAACATAGGGGCATTGTGTCTGTATTTCTTTGTTCAAGAATGCCAGATCAAATGTGAAAAATTACCTATCAAGGATACATGTTACATACCTTAAAAAAACATTTTTTTCCCTTTGGGTATCCCTCAAATGGCCTCTTTTTTAGCTCAAATTTTTAAAAGCTCCGCACTGCAGAAGGGGGGCACATCCCCCTTCCGCCCCATCCCCCCTCTCGGTCGCTTCGCTACCTCAACATGCAGCCAGTGCCACTACATTAAAACTAAATCCTAGCTAGAATCCTGCAATATAACGTCACTTCATGAGGGTATGCATGGGGGGTAGTAATTACGAATTACACAAAATTTTCACTGCCGATTACGAATTACGTTGAATTCTCAGCGATAATTACGGATTACATTAAATCATAGGGTACTTTATGGATTACATTTTACGTTGCGTATTGGACTCGTAATTAATAATCAGAAGAATTGCATGTCTCTCACCTCCCCCTTGACACTGCCAGGGCATCGATCTCATCAAAGAACACGATGGATGGAGCAGCAGCACGCGCCTTACGAAACACCTTGGGGGGTGGTAAAACGATCTTTTAAGTACATAACCCCTCTTCGATCTTTAAAACAAATTTCACAACAATACACCCATAGCTTCTTGAGCTATCGTGCTATACTACAAACAGGCAACATGTACTAGTATTACATACAGATGTCATGTACAGGTATAAATGCCTCCAAAAACATACTGTAAATCACTTAATGTTTGCAGTAGCAAGAGTACGGTCTGAGAAACATGGACCTGTTCACGGAATTATACATTCAAAGTGGCAACAGGTCTAGCAAAAAGAATGTCGGTGAAATATTTCTTCACGGTAATGATACATTTGCTGTACAGAAGTGACTGCAAAAACCATGAATACACAAGTATCGTGGATAAAATAGTGATTTACAGTAACCTTCTAGGCAAAGATGATAAATACCAGGCATGTTCCTTACCTCCCTCACAGCCAGCTCCGACTCTCCCACCCACTTACTGAACAACTCAGGACCCTGGGCATGGAGAGACATATTATTAGCCAATTAGACATCTAAAACTTCAGGTTGATAAATTTCGTTACCACCCATGGAAGTGAAATAGAACAGAAGGATTTATTTATTTATTTATTATTAAGTTTTACCACGTACAATATGCACTGTGGATGGCATGGTGAAACAGGTGTTTCTGACATGAAACTCCTTTTCAAAGCCGCCATACCAATAAAATGACAAAACAATACAAAAAGTAATCAAATCACATAATACAATTTGAGAAACAAATAAATAAACTTAGAACTACAAGACAAGTCAACTTATTAACATTGTGAGAGTTATTGTTTTTGTATAGAGGATGTTTTTGTTGTTTTAATATTTCTGCAGTTTCTGTGTGTTATTCCACACATGTCAGAATGAAGTCTGCTATGTTTGATTGCCTTAATTGTTAGTCACACAGAAATACAAACTATAATTGTGATTGGTTGGATACTGCTAGTCATGCATGTTATTGTTAGCAGCATGTTCCCTAATCATATCTTGGCTTGCCATCTCTTCACTCCAGATGTTGAAACCTGACTTAAAAGTTTGACAAATCACTCCTAGTGTCTGAACTATATCATCAGCTTCTAGCATCTACATGAAGGAACATTACTTGCCGACAGACCTGTTCTGCTAGTAAGGCCACACCAATTTAAATTCTTGATTAACGGATTTTTCTAGGAAAATAATGGAGCGGGCTTGCGAAAAAAAATAGCAATAGGCCTAGGCATCCTATTATGGCCCAAAATGGTACGATAGGAGCCATGAAGTCAACACACCAGGCTGGTTCAAAATTTAAACTATGAATTCTGAACTTGTATCGATACCACTGCATTGAAAGATGGAATAACTGTAACAACTAGGAAGAAAAGGTCTGGACTGTTTTCAACTGTTCAGGGCAAAATATGAGCATTTTGCAGTTGATTCTGAATTTTTATTTTTTTTTTTGCAAATCAGAAAAAATGAAGCGGGCGAATCCGTTAACCAAGAAATTAAATTGGTGTGGCCCAATCTGGACATTCTGAAGTGTCGACCTGAACGCTATAGAGGGAGTGCTATACCACTCATGGTCTGTCACACATAATTGTTTTCAATTCAATGTCGCTAATTGAACTTGTATTTTCTATCTGACTTTAATGTATTTCAATTTTACAACTGAATCGTTGTGAACATACTAGTATTATGAATGATTATGCTGATCGCAATAAATTTGCTTTTGACTTTAGCTAGTGTAGAAAATGTTTTTTATTCTTGGCAGTCAACTTCTGCCATATTGCTTTATCAATTAAGCCTTCCTGGTGTGACTTGTGATATAGTTAATGTCATAATAAACCATTACTATGACCAAACTAAATGCATTACTGTACAATGTTATAGAATGTAGATTATATACTTAAGAGAGATCTGTGTAGGCTTGTACAAAACCTATTTCCTTACTTCATACACTTGAGCACTGTAGAAAAATTCATATTCCTAATGCGACTTGACAAACCTTCCATCGAAAAACATATCTGTTCCTTTATCCCTACTATAACTGAAAAGCGAGAAGTTGAATTTATGTAATGATAGCTAGTTCTATTTTGTATGTATCTTTTCATCATGTCTTGTTTTGACCTGTACTTAGCCTAGTGTGGCAAAAATATGCAATAAAGGTCTTCTTCATTCATTCATTCATTCATTCATTCATTCATTCCTTCCTTCCTTCCTTCCTTCCTTCCTTCCTTCCTTCATTCCTTCATTCATTCCTTCCTTCCTTCCTTCCTTCCTTCCTTCATTCATTCATTCATTCATTCATTCATTCATTCATTCATTCATTCATTCATTCATTCATTCATTCATTCATTCATTCAATGTTCACAACCAAGTATTTGTAGCTTGTACCTTAACAGCTATAAAGTTGAGTCCACTCTCTGTTGCTAGTGCCCTGGCAATGAGAGTCTTGGAGCAGCCGGGAGGTCCGTACATGAGGATGCCGTGGGGAGGCTGGATGCCCATCCTCTGGAAGGCCTCAGGGTTCTGTAGAGGCCACTGCACCGCCTGCTGCAGCTTCTGTTTGATCACAGCCTGGCCTCCAATGTCAGACCAATGCACCTGAAGGAGGAAAATTAGCAACTTCTTACACAAGGCAATATGCCTGTATAACGTAATCTCCAAGCAGATCCCTCTCGTTTGCCAGGTTGAACCAGGTTGCCCACTACAGCAAAACTTAGGTTGCCCATCAGAATTTTAGGTTGCCCCACCTATAAGTTACTACTTTCCTCAAATTAAGTCTTTAGCCTTTGACAATATTTCTAACAGCCTTTAGTTAACTGATACTAGTAATAGCCATTAATACCTAAAATCAAAAAGCATCTGCCGGATACAGTGGTGCAAGCCAAGTGGGCATGATTTTGGGGGGTTGGGGCATTCTTGAAATTCAGGTAGCACACTGGGCTACCTAGGTTCAAAAATAGGTTGCCCCAAGTAAAATTTGGTTGCCCGGGGCAACTGGGCAACCAGGTATTTTGCACGCTGCGTCACCATGTCTTGTGAGAAATGTTGAAATAAAAAGAATCTCTGATTCATCATCTTCAGTACTGCTTAGCCTTCTAAAAAGAAGATTACTAGCAGCTGCGCCTTAGTACTGTGTGCAAAGTGCAAACAAAGGGTAAGGTAGGAATGGACGTGGACAAGTGCAAGGACAGGACAAGTGAAATCAGTGGTGCTAGTGTTACACGTATTTACATATGTACAAGGACCGGGAGGCAGCTCAATGCAGCGAAGCCCGTCCCAGCTCTGCTTTGAACTGGGAGATGGACTTCGCCTCCGCCACACTGGGCTCAAGTTCATTCCACTCCTTGATGGTGCGAGGGAAGAACGAGAGCCTGTAATACATGTAGTTGTTCTTACTCGCGATGGTCTGCAGCTTTAAAGCGTGATTAGTGCGGCGGGAGCATCGAGCTGCCGGGACGAGGCACGAGGTGTGGGGGACAGAGATGGTGTTGTGCAGGACTTTGAACATTGTGGTCAGTCTGGCCATTTTGCGGCGGTGTTCAAGTGACTGCCATCTCAGGTTACCTAGCATCTCTGTTACAGAGGCCGTGCGTCTGTAGTTGTTGTATACATACCTGATTAACGTGTTGGGTTCTGTAATGTGAAAATGTGAAGAGGTCTAGCAACCTAATACTGTAGGACTGATCGCTTAACCCCCAAAATCAGCCGAAAAACAATCTGGTCACTGTACTGCAGTTTCTTGCTGAAGTGTCAAGGCAGGTATCGGGATTGAAACTACAGTATCTGGGGTTCCAGCCAGGTCCTGGTGAAAAGCAGGAAAACTGATCATGACTCATGCCACCAGGACACTTTGCCATTCTCTTTTTTTCTTTTGGGCCACACTGATTTAACTTTATGGATGACATCCGAGCGTATTGATTTTCTCCCGTTCTCAAAAAATAAAAATCCTCCAGAGGCTCTGGTCTGGGTGCCATCCTCCATGGTAGCTAGTGACAACAGCGAGCTGGTGGTAACTATGGAGGATGGCCCCCAGGCTGCCGAAGCTGCACCGAACTCAAGAACTCAGTACAATGCCAACTCTTAAATGCTGCAAAAGGCCAGCATGTGCCGGCTTGTCGTAAACATTGCTACAATTGTAATACCACAAATTCACAATACCAGCTTTGTATTCCTGAGGTTTAGCAGCATTTTGGGGGGCTGGATTTTTTTTTATTCGCCCGGGCACTAGTTTGTGGGTCCATAAAATTCAGTCAGTGTGCCTAACGTTACACTTTTGGTCTGAAAACTGAAAAAAAAAGTTATAAATGAAATTTCAACAGTGGTGTATGCCAAGGGGTGAATAAAGTTCTGAGCCCAGACTGGAAGGAGGCACAGTCCCTCCAGGATGTCATCCATAAATTAAGTCAGTGTGGCCTTAGCTAACGTATTAAAAATGTCATGACACAAATCAGTTCTGCTCTTCACAAGGACTTTGGGACTTCTGGTAACTACATCATCAGGTGGGGTCGTGTGGTGCAATGGCAGCGTGCGCGACTCGGAATCAAGAGGTCCCGGGTTCAAGTCCTGACATGCCACCGATCTTGTGCCCTTGGGAAAGGCACTTTACACGACTTTCACCGCTAGACTCAAGTGAAAATGAGTATTGTCTGTCCAATATTCATTTCTACGTGCGGAACACAACACCAGCAACAGCTGCCTCTGTTCCGCATGTATTGCATTGTTGCAATTTCAATAAATCAAATCATGTACAAGGATAATAAACACACAGGTAGAGAGAACTTTGTAATCTGAAAATTAGCATCATGTTTGTATGATTGTTGAAAAATGTGCTTACTCTTGGCACATCAATCATGACCTCCCTCATGGCACTTGGTTTCACTTCCCTCAAAGCAAAGACAAAATCTTCCAGGGACACTTGGACAGTTTGAGCCAGGCTGCTGTCACCACCTGCAGTCTCTGTGTACTCGTCAACCTGCAAGTACACAAAAGTACATCTGTGACCAAAGCAGCTGAACGTGAGCTCAGGAGGGTGATGAGAGATGCCACCCACCCATGTCAACAGTTCCTAGAGCCAGGGAGGTTGTCAACTTACCAACTATGATGCCAAACACTCAACTAGAAGGTTCTACTGAGTCGTACCAAAAGACACAGACAATCCTTTATTCCCAGAACTCTCAAAATCACGCAGCAGTTGTAAATTGAGTTTCAGACTCTTCTTCTGCAGATTATTTGGATGTGAACTCTTAAAATTGTATACTCACGTCGCCACAATATGTGTGCTATATTTTAATTGATAATGACTTTTAATAATGCATTTTATCGTTGAATTTTAAACTGTTGTATGTTGAATTCTAGACTTTTGTAAAATCACAACACAATTCAGGAGTTTCTCCTGCCATTTTGTTTTATCAAATAAAGTTTAAAGACATGTTCAGTTCAGAAAACCAGAAGTTCAGATGCATTATCATAACAAGCCACCAGGGGGCGCAGTATCTTATCATTTCGTGGTCTCATAAATACCAAATATCAACACGATCCATAAGACTTGAATTATGCACACACACACACACACACACACACACACACACACACACACACACACAGAGTAAGCATAAATCAAAGTAAACATTGTTTAGGCCACACTGATTTAATTTTAAGGATGACATCCAGGCCCGCATTGATTTTCGCCTGATCTCAAAAAAAAAAAAAAAATTATGTCCTCCGAGGCTCTGGCCTGGGTGCCATCTGCAGTCCATGGTAGACAGAAACAATAGAGAGCCGGCAGTAACTATAGGTACATGTATATATAGAGGACGGCACCTAGGCTACCAAAGCTCCAGGACTCAAGTACATACGTGCAGTGCCGATTCAAAAATTCTGCAAAAATCCAATATGTGCCGGTTTGTTGTAAACGTCGCTATGTGCTACCACAAATTCACAATACCGGCTTTGTATTCCTGTGGTTTAGCAGCATTTTTATTTCTGGCCGGAATTTTTTTCTTCGCCCATGTGCACTAGTGTGGGGGGTCTTTCTGAAGATGTCATCCATAATTAAGTCAGTATGGCTTTATACAACAGTAATCAAGCTATCTGCTATCAAACCTGCACATCTATAGTGCAAGCATGTCTAACCACCACAAGGTCTGGAACAGACAATAAACTAGCTAAATTTCAGGTAGACTATGATGATTTCTGCATGTCTGCCATGTAATATTATCCATCCTCAAATACTGTGACTAGAAATATTGATAATTTCTATTCCCATGATAGATTACAGCAGTTGGTGTCCCAAATTATCCTTGCTTTTATGCCACATGGTGCAAAACAACTTCAGTCATACAATGCACAAGCAACTGAAATCTTACCTTTACTCTTTCTGTGTATCTTCTGAATGCCTGGAGACCAGCTGTTGAAATATGTAAAGAGGGTATTCAAAGTTAAAACTTCTGTTCCAACACAAAGAAATTCTCTCACCTAGAGCTTTCAACCAGTCGCTCTGGTCTTTCTCAGTAGACTGACCTAGTGAGACTAGTCAGGCCAAACTGATTTAATTTTATGGATGACATCCTCTGAAGACCCCCAAACTAGTGCGCGCGAGCGAATAAAATAAAAATCCGGCCAAAAATAAAAATGCTACTAACCCACAGGAATACAAAGGCAAAGCTGGTACATGTAATGTGAATTTGCGGCAGAACTGCGACAGAACATAGCGACATATACGACAAGCCGGCGCATGCTGGCTTTTTGCAGATTTATGATAACACTGTACGTATATGTACTGAGGTCTTGAGTCGTGGAGCTTTGGTAGCCTGGGCGCCATCCTCCAGAGTTACCACCGGCCCTTTACTGTTGCCATATAGCAAGCTACCATGGATTTTTTTTTGAGAACAGATGAAAATGCGCGTGCGGATGTCATCCATAAAATTAAGTCCGTGTGGCCTCACGTGGCTTCTCTGAAGTCAACATTTTTTCATTTGCCTGCTTGCATAATGTGGTTTGGGGGTCTTCAGAGGAAGTCATCCATAAAATTAAGTCAGTGTGGCCTAACAGGTGTAACCCTGCTAATGAATTCAACTGCTTATTTGCTGTCTGGTATGAACCGGGTCATAATGACAGACATTTCAATTTCATATCTCCTAATTTTATTGGCTAAATAGAATAATCAAGACCCATGATAGCATTGGTCATACAAAGTAATTAAAGTCAATGAGAGCACACAAACTGATATGAAAATATTGTTAAAACTTTGCCAGCTAGCTTAAAATTTAAGACACTGGATCACAAATTTACCACCAATTAATTTCTATTCTTTGCAACATGTGATTCATGATATGGATTATGAAGCCTGTATTTATTTTAGCTTTCTGAATTGCAGATTGTTTACATATTTTTCTGTAAGCTAAAGTATTTCTTGGTTGCAGGTTGGCCCTGAAAAAACAGACATTAGGCCACACCAATTTAATTTCTTGGTTAACAGATTTGCCCGCTTCATTTTTTTCTGATTTGCAAATAAAAACAAAAATTCAGAATCAACTGCAAAATGCTCATATTTTGCCCTGAACAGTTGAAAACAGTCCTTTTCTTCCTAGTTGTTACAGCTATTCCATCTTTCAATACAGTGGTATCATTAAAAGTTCAGAATTCATTGTTTAAATTTTGAACCAGCATGGTGTGTTGACTTCATGGCTCCTATCGTACCATTTTGGGCCATAATAGGATGCCTAGGCCTGTTTTTATTTTTTTCACCCGCCCGCTCCATCATTTTTCTACAAAAATCCGTTAACCAAGAAATTAAATTGGTTTGGCCTAAATGTACTTTGACATATGCTTCTGACTGCAGCTGTACTTTTCCATGTACAGTCAAACCTGCTCCAGGCGACCATCCAGGGGACCGAAGAAAAGCGGTGACCTTGGACAGGTGGTCTCCTTAAAGAGAGTCGCTTCACAACATGACCGAGACATTGAGACTGGTTTCCAAGTCGCGATGTTTTAATGTCCAATGCTGTAAGTGTAATCTACAGTTCTGTGGTGAATGCATGTGGGGAGGGTGGCACATGGAACAACTTATAGAACAAATCAGTTATCATCAATAACCAATTAAAAATGATGTGGTCACCATGGGCATGTATCAGGCCTTGAGCGGACCCAACTCACGGTGGTTGCAGTCGCATTAGCCAGGTGGTCACCTTGGACAAGTCGCTGAATGCTTGCGTCAATGGGGAAAATTTTTGGAACCAAGAAAAAGTGGTCACCATGGCCAGGTGGCCAGCTTGAAGAGGTGGTCACCTTGGCAGGTTTGACTGTCCTATCAATACTGAGCTGCTACATGTACTTGGTTCTTACCTTCTTTACAAACAGCTGTTAGGTCAGCTCCTACATAGCCATGAGCACTGTCCGCAATGCTGTGGGGGTAAGAAGGTACCGAAAACTGTCATCAACTGATCATTTTCAAAAACAAGATACAAAAACCTTAACTACCACAGAATAGCAAAGTTCTTTTTATCTAAAAAAAGTTGGTCACCTGGCAATGTTATCTGGACTGAGAGTATGAGGCATCTTCCTCAGCAGGCAAGACAGAATCTGATGAGTGGAAATAAACACACTGTCAGGGATGCAGCAATACTGAAAAAAACACTAGAAAGAAGACATTTGCAATATACCGTATTGCCAAAATACGTAATTTGGCTTTCATTTTTATGTACACCTTTTTCTTCAAATAATGCCCATCTGCCGAGAAATCAGCAATAACTGACATGCTTTCACGACTAATACAATATGAGGGTTCGCCAAGCCAGTGTCTGGGTGATTTGTAGTCAATCACTAACTTCCAGACAGTAGAATTAGGACCATCGCACACAGGGGCATGCCCATACTCTGTTTCAAAAGGTGTGGTGGGTTCTTTAAAGTGCATGGGGTGCAGCTCTCCCCAAACACAGGACCTCCATTTTACGTCTGAGGGACGTCACTAATCGTAGCTAGGTACTCATTTAGACCTGTGAGCGAAGTGAGGAAAGTTGTGTAAAGTACCTTTCTAAAGGGCACAACGTCAGGGCATATACATGTTGGTGGAATCGAACCCAGGACCCATGGATTCTGGACCGAATGCCCTACCATTACGCCACACAACGCCACAGCATCTAGTAGTCCTGCTCTTATATCAAAGATGCACACCTTGTCCAGTGTAGCTGTGTGGCCCGGGGACTTGATTCGGGTCATACAGTTACACTTGACAGGCTGCACATCTTGGCTACAGAGCAGGACTACTTTGTGAGCAGTGTGAAGCAGTTATACATGTACATAGGGCCCATCAACCCTCTCTGAACCATGACGATGGTAGATTCCATCCTCCAGACAATTTTGATTAACTCCTGACACCACCACGCTTCCAGCTTCCGGAAAGTCAGTGCAGCGGATACTACATCTCATGAAGCTTAATGAGACTGAAAATTCATGGTAAGTTCCTTTCTTGTGTTGGAACAAAGCTTATTAAAGTCTACAACTAATACGTTCTGGTGCAGAACTGTAGGAGCCCAAAATATACATGGTACATTTTTAGTCTGAAAACAACAAAAATCTCAAAATTCAATCACTTAACTGAAAAATGCCAAAAATGTCACTTAAGTCCTATGGGCATACATGTATACCAAATTTCAAGTAATTTGGTTTTAATACCAAGGCACATGAGTTATATACACACTATTTACGGGGAGGATGTAGGACTTGGGAACAGGTTTGGTAACAACTTATGACTTACCTCAGCCCTTTGCACGGCATTGGGGATGGGGATTTCTACCTCCCTATCAAACCTTCCCGGGCGGCGCAAGGCTGGGTCAACTGCACCTGGCCGGTTGGTGGCAGCCAGCACAACCACCTGGCCTGGCTGTACACAGGGAAACATGTGTCACTTCATTTGTACATGTTTTAAAGTAAGGCCACGCCGAGTTAATTTTATGGATGACATCCTCTGAAGACCCCCAAACTAGTACACGCGGGCGAATAAAAAAAAAATTCTGGCCAAAAATAAAAATGCTTCTAAACCACAGGAATACAAAGCTGGTATAGTAAATTTGCGGCAGTACTTAGCGACGTATACGACAAACCGGCACATGCTGGCTTTTTGCAGAATTTATGAATCGGCACTGTGCGTATGTACTGAGTTCTTATGTCGTGAAGCTTCGGTAGCCTGGGTGCCCGGCTCCATATCGTCACTAACTACCATGGACTACCCAAGCCTAAAGCCAGGCAGAGCCTCGGAGGATGTGATCTTTTTTTTTTTAGGGCAACAGGCAAAAATCAATACGCGCGCGGATGTCATCCATAAAATTAAGATGGTGTGGCCTATTAAAGCAGAAAACACAAGCATAATTTCATGATGAATCATCCTACACAACACCTGTGAGTGAAGTGAGGAAAGGTGTGTAAAGTACCTTTCTAAAGGGCACAACATCAGGGCATGTACATGTCGGTGGAATCGAACCCAGGACCATACACATCCATAAAGATGGCCCCCAACAACCCTGTGCTATCCATGAGAGGCTGTGAATAGTCCTAACTCCCTAGAATTGGACACTATTTCTGACTCAACAACATGACGACCACATGGTTAAAGCTTGACAATGAAAGTACCTACGAGCCTTATACCATCCATCAGGGTCAGCAAAGTAGCAACTACTCTCTTCTCCAACTCTGACTGGATTTTATCCCTCCTTGGGCAAAGTGCATCCAGTTCATCGATGAATATAATACATGGTGCTCTGGGAAGGAAAAAAATACTAAATCAAAATAGAGATAATCTTCAGGGGAATGATACACACACACACACACACACACTCAGTCACACACACACACAAACACACACATACACACACACTCAGTCACACACACACACACACAAACACACACACATATACACAGTCATACATACATGTTAACAAAGACACACACACACACATACACATGCAAACATACACATGCACACGCACACACACACAAATGCACACACGACACACACACACATACGCACTCACACACACACACACACTTGGTCACACTCACACACACAATCAGTCACACACACTCAGTCACACACACACACACTCAGTCACACACACACACTCACACTCAGTCACACACACACACACAAACTCACACTCAGTCACACACACACACACAGTCACACACACACACAGTAACACACACACACACACACACACACACACACACACACATACACACTCAGTCACACATGTGCGCACACTAAACAATATCTCCATTTTCATGGAGGTAAATAAGTATTAAACCTGTCTTCAGCTTGTTGAAAGATATCTCTGAGTCTGGACTCTGTCTCTCCATAAAATCTGAAACAAAGAAAGGTAAATGTAGCAGAGATCTCTGTCTGCTGATGACACAATGAAGTATCATAAAAAGATAGTCTAGCTGATAGATTGGCAGTGTTGAACACTAACTTGTACAGAATGGTACAAGGGACAGGAATCATACTATGTCACACTGTACAAGGGCTCGAAATTCATTTTTGGGAATAGGTACACTGGTGCACCCAACCTAAAATATTAGGTGCACAAAAAATCTTTGGGGTGCACCTGACCATGTACATGTACAATGTAAAACAAAACCTATAAATCAGCTCCTCTTCTGAGCTTGAATCTGAAATGGAAGCTAAGTTCAAAATCTTACACAAGCACTAAAATTTTATTCTTTTTCTGACACTTAGATGCCAAGAATATCCTGTATACTACATATATTAGACATTTGATATGCACAAAAATACCTACAAAAATATTTGAGTGCACCAGTGCACCCAAAGAAAAAAATTGGGTGCACAGCTCCAATTTTGGGTGCACTAAGGTGCACATGCACCCAGTATTTCAGGCCCTGCTGTACAGAAATTCACCATCATCATCAATCACGACAATTGATCATAGAACAGCCTTACTCAATCGATCATAGAACAGTCTTACTGACTTGCAGAGAACTTCTGGCCCGTTGATAGTGATAAAGGTTGCCCCAATCTCAGCAGCCAGTGTCCTGGCCACCATGGTCTTGCCTGTCCCTGGTGGGCCAAACAGCAGAACTCCACTGGGTGGGCCCACTCCTAAAGACACAGGGGTCGAAATAGATTTTGGAGTCAACTTGCACTGGTGCAGATGAAAAAAAGAAATTACTTGCACCAAAAAAAAAATTGTTTCACCCCCCAAAAATAATAGGTACACAACCAAACGTACATGCAGTAACTATAATCATAGTGTCCAATATTTGCTTACACTGTTGTGAAGATAAACTACTAACCATGCATGGTACAATGTAGCAACTTAGATAGCAACCTTCTGTTGATTATAAAAAAATGAATAAAAACTCCCCGGATTCTGTTTCTCTTACCTTTCCAGTTTTTTGTTGGGTATATTTCTATGGGTAGTAGTCAATGAACTTACAATGTACTTGCACCAGTGCACATTGGTAAAAAAAATTGTTGCACAGCACCAATTTTACCTGCACCAACTTGCACATAGAGGGGTATTTCAACCCCTGCTACAGGAACAGATTACAGGGGGCATGGGGGGGGGGGGTCCCCGACAACACTCTATGCTGAATTCGGAACCCTCTCCATTACGCGTTACGGTAAATTCCAAGTGGCTACAACGCATTACATAGAACTAAAACGGCGAATGCGCTCACTGCAAAATGATCCAATTATGCTCTACGTTACATTAGAGCAGTCCCTCTACGTAGAATTAAAATGGCCGATTACGCTCTACACAAAAGAGCATGCGGGCCCCATTACATGTACATCTTAGGCCACACCACTTTCATTTGTCAGTTCTTTAATTTATTCATTATAAATATGAAGCAACAGGGTGAAATAAAAAACACCTATGAAGTCAACATACATGTACCAGGCTGGTTTGTAATTTTCTTCAAACAATGAATTTCAAATTTCTAATCAAACCACTGCACTGATAGATGGAAAAGCTGTAGTAAGAAGAGACTTAATTCAACTATTTGGGCCAAAATATGAGTCTTTTGGAGGTGATTCAGAGGCTGAAATGTTTTTTTTTTTGCAAATCAGAAAAAAATGAAACTGGTTTATCCATGAAATGTTTTGTTTTTTTTCGCAAATCAAAAAAAAAATGAACCGGGTTTATCCGCGAACCAACAAAATGTCTTCTACGGGGCTGGTATTTTCAATTTTGTTTTTTTTGTCACCTAAGGTACAACTAACAAACCTGGGGTGCTCACAATCTTGAGGGGTCCGGGGACAATTTTGGGATTTTCAAGCCTTTAAAAACGCAATTTCCCACATTTTGAGAGGCAAATTCTGGTAATTATGTGTGGTTGTTGGTGGTCCTTTGGATGGTTTTTGCTTTTGCAAATTTTGTCCATCAAGATGGATTGGTTTAAAAAGTTTTCCATCGTCAGGCCACGCCAATTTAATTTCTTGTTTCTCGGATTTGCAAAAAAAAAAAAATTTTAGGTTTTAAATCAACTGCAAAATGCACAATAAAAGATATATTTTGGCTCAAAATATTTGAAGAAATTCCTCTTCTTCCTAGTTGTTAAAGTTTTTCAATGCAACTTTGTTTCATGCACATTGTTTAGAAATAGAAAAGGGTCGTTATAAGAATGTACCAGCCACTCAGAGACGCTGTCCTACATGTAAACATACTGTTGAAGATGAATTTCACTTCTTATTATCTTGTCCCATGTATACTGAAGAAAGGTTGACACTTATGAATATGATTTCACGTAACTCAAACATTACCTAAGACAAGCTCAGATACTTTTAATTTACTGATGTCATATCCTGAACCAATATCCTTGTATATAGGCCAATTCATATCCTCTGCTCTTCGGAAAAGAAACAATATCATCTGTGACACCTTGAACTGATGTTAACATTGTATCCATGTTCCATATATATTGTATAATCCATCACGCACAATTATAGGGTAGCGTTAGAATAAGGTATCTAGAAGTAGATTTTAGTTTTGTTGTTATCTTTTGATTTAAACACTTGCCATACATTGTATCCATTGCAATTGTTGCGCAATAAAGATTGATTGATTGAAAGATTGATTGATTGTAAAGTTCAAAATCTATTGTTTTAATTATAAACCACCCTGGTACATGTATGTTGACTTCATAGCTGTCATATTGTAATAATTTGTAACATTTCCGGCTATCACGGGGTGCCTTGGCCTGTTTTTCTTTTCTATTTCGCCCTGTCACTTTTTTTTATCTGAAAAAATCCGAGAAGCAACAAATTAAATTGGCGTGGCCTCACATCACAAATTTCCTCCAATTGACAGAACACGACATGAAAGACAGACTATGTACATTATTTGTACATTGTGCTTGGCCATTGTACTGGGGAAATTCTCTTCCTGGAAGCTCTTATTGACAAGCACAACAAAAAGTGGACCACGGCTTAACGTCCCCTAGCCTGGTGTCCAGCCTTGTTAGCTCCCCAAGATCCGCTCCCCGCCAACAAACATACACAAGCCTTTAAAGCATTGACTTGCTCAGATTTAAGCTACGTAATGCCGTCCAACTCTTCTAAAACTGACACGATCGCGCAGTCCACACAGCTGTCACACTGTGCGGCAGCCATGTTGATGATAGACCTCGCCTTGAAAAGACCCTATTTGAGTAGCCAATCACAGCGCTTGCACCTATTTTGGGCGAATACGCCTGCTGAAATCGTTTGAATGGTAACGGCGCCCAGTCTTATTGGCGGGGAGCGGACTAAAGCTAACAAGGCTGGACACCAGGCTATAATGTCCCATTGTAAGGACTGCAACTCTTTACAAATATTATTCGTGAGACAGTGTCACTAACCACTGGACTATGAATAATGCCATATCTCTGTTCTTACTTTATATACCGCCTTGCTAAGAGTGAGAAACAGGAATCTTTACCCAGACTTCTGAAGGCCTCTGGACAAGTCAACGGAAGCTCTACCATGTCACGGATGATTGACAGCTCCCTGGACAGGCCTCCTATCATGTCATAGCTCATCCCCTCCTGTCCATCATCTTTTGTGGCTCTGTCACCACCTGCGTCAATAACTAGTTTGGTTTCTGACGTGACATAGTAGAAAGGTCCGTGTGTTTTTCTTTGAATCATTTCTTCTTTCGTTCCATCTGTGTTTTTGCTGAGCAGAACCATCAAATTCTTCACACTTCGCAGAACTATCGTTGGTGTTTACCTGCTCACAAAGTCTTTCTTCATATGTCATTTCTAAGTTTTGTACTAAAGGGTCACGGTGGGAAAAACAGTCAGTCTTATTTTCTGCAAAAGTCGGCTCAGATTTTGCATTCAGGTGTCCATCTTCTAACGTTAACTTCCCCATGGCACCTGGCAATGTGGTATTTTCCTCACTTCCCTGAGTTTGCTCTTCCACAAGAGAGGACTTTGCCAGGATGTTTTCCTCTGGACATCTGTTAGTCTGGGTTCTGCCGTCCACACCACATGTTTGACCCACTGTGAGGACACATGGCTTTCCATAATAAGCCAGCTGTATGGAGTTCCCAGGGATGAGAATCTGCAAACCTATAAATAAGGTCAGATTGATAAAAAAATAAACCTTCCTGACACCATGAAAAAGACGACACAGTAAAAGCTGTAATTATTTTCTACTTTTGAATCTTGAGCTCAATTAGTCATAACTTGACAAGTCATTTTATTAATCGTATTGCATAATTAAGGGTTAATGACCGCCCCGAGGTGTATATGGTGTCATAAAGCCTGGTCATTTCCTATAAAGCGAGAAGAAGTTGACCAGTCTCTATATTAGCTCAGTGACTAGAACACTTTGTATTAGCCTAGAATAGTACCCTTGTATGTTCTTTATGTATGTACGTCTAAGTCAAGTAGTGAATCTTTTGTCACCAATTTTCTATATACGTTTGTTATGTGTCTGTTATATCTGTTATATCGGCATCATGAATGTACAATAAAGGTATTTCATTATTATAACCACTGATTGAACCATGAGTGAGTGCTAGTGAACAAAAAAAATTGTGATATTCATATTTACCTAATTGCTGTCTGCAGTAATCTTGGAAACATCTCGTTTTCTGGAATTCCATATATTTCCTGATGGGAATATGTCATCCAAAACATGTTACACAGCAGTACAGACTGTTCAGCCAGCAAATTATATAGTCAGCATTTTCTGAATGAATTCACATTAATTTTCTCCTATTCACTGCTTCGTGTTTGAAATAAATGTTACATGTACCATTAAACTTTAAAGATTTCAATCAACTACAAAATGCTCATTTTTTTTTAACCGAATTTAACGTCTTTATTCCCCAACCGGGGGTTAGACGTGCTTGCACCAGATACAAGTCTTTTTTGAAGCAATATTTTAACGGCTGGATGCTCTTCCTAACGCCAACCCAAATCTTAGTAGGGCCCAGGAACCCTCTACAACTGAGGGGGGAAATGCATGCGTGTTAAGTGCCTTTCCCACGGGCACAACGTCTGGGTGCATGTCCAGACATGTCTGGGTCCAACCCTGGGGATTGAACCTGGGTCTTCTTGCTTGACAGTCAGACGCTCTATCCACTACACCACACAGACGCCACCATCATAATTTGATTATTTTGGTACCAATAGTTGAAGGAAGTTCTTGTCTTGCAGTTTTTCTGCAGAACTCTGAGGACCTTGAAACTGAATGAGGGCCTGCATGCCCTTTTTCGTTAACCGTTATGGGCTATTTTAATTTACCGTTAATCGTTGCCGACCCGCTCTAATTCAACGTTAAGCGTTATCGGTATATTCATCGTGAAGCGTTATTGGTCGTTTTAATTCAACGTAAAACGTTATTTGTCATCCTAAATTCAGCGTTAAACGTTAATGAATAATTCTTCAACATTCTAAATTTCCTGGGGGAGCATACACCCCCACCCCCCTAGACTAGCGCCTTCGGCGCTCCCCTGGTAAAACTGGGCGGACGGAAAAAAGTCAAGCTGGGTAGAGCCCTGGCCGACGTCGACTCGGACTCCCCTTTATTTGTGGACGCACTCGGGGGCCAGGGCAGGTGGGGAACACAGGGAACACATACCTTTATTGCATGCTTCATCACATGTAAGGTATACGTAATTTTGTCAGTGATCACCTTTTCTCAGAAGGCGAGATACCAAATCCAGTGCAGCTCGAAAAAAAGCCTGTCAATTTACCGTTAAGCGTTGCCGACCGTCCTGAATTTACCGTTAAGCGTTATCGGCCCTGCTGAATTTACCGTTAACCGTTACCAGGACCCCCCCATGCAGACCCTCCTGAATATGTAAAAGAGTATTGACAATCATAAGGCCACATCAATTTAATTAATTGGTTCTCCGATTGGCCCACATCTTTTTTTCTGACTTGCAAAAAACAAACAGATTTAGGTTCTTAACTTCAAAATGCTCATAAATTAAGAAAGCTCCTTGTCTTACTAGTTGTTACAGTTTTTCCATAATAACTCGTTTGAATTATAAATCAGTTGTTGATATACGTTGACATCACAGTTTCCAAGGCTGTTAGGTTTGGCTTTTTTTCGCTCTGTCACTTCATTTTTTTTTTTAAATCTGAGAACCAACAAATCAAATTGGCGTGGCCTAACCCCAGAAGGGCACCACCTACCTTGGTTCCAGATGAAGCTCTGCCAGAGGTAGGAAGGGTCCCAGCAGGGGTTGAACCAGAACTATAGCACCAGGGTCTGCACCACAGTTCACCCGTAACCCCTCACACAGCCCAACACTGGTGAGGGAGAGGGGGGGCCCTGGCCAGGCTGTGCCCACAACTGCCCTGTTGGTCTTCACACAGGAGATCAGTACTGGTCTGCCAACACACAGCTTACACAGCGCCATAGTGGTTGGACTAAGATGCACAAGTTCCTGTTGTGTACTTTGTGGCAGCTTTGGCTTTTCAACATCAACTAGAATGATACAAACAAAATTTTTAATAAATTGTCATAATCATGAGTAGAGTAGAGTAGAGTAGATGTCTTCGGCCACGTAGGAGCTTGGGTTCCAGTTTAGGCCGCTCATCACTTTATGAGTATGAAGAGAGGAGACAAGAAAAGGCGTTTTGCTTCTTACTTTGAATTTGATGCAGTGATAATATTGTGATGATGGCTGTGTATTATCTATTATAAGGTGATGTTCCCACTTCCCACTGAATCAAAACCATTTGTACAATAATTAAGTCAAAATATGTAGGTAGGAAAAATATATAGGAATCGTAAGTTAAAAATATGTAGGAATCTAGATTTGGAGTCTGCGGAGGATGTCATCCATAAAATTTACTTGCTGTGGCCTTAGCAAACTTTCCATGGTGGCTGGTATAGAACCGTAGCCTGGGTACCATCCCCAGTAGTATATTCACAAACTCTATAACTGGGTCTGGACTTGCACACATATAAAACGATTGGTCATGACGTCACGTAATGAGCTAGCCCGAGCAGCGGGGCTTCATTTGACTGGCTGAGCCTCAGAGGCGATGGCCAATGGCGCGCCTGCATTATTCAAGTGATGTTTGTTGTTTTGTAAACACAGATCTTCGCGCGAGTGTTCCTTTTCTCGGTGCGTTCTTTTTTTTTACCGGTAGGACGCCCAAAACATCACGAACGAAATTATTCAATGCATCTTTTTGCTCATTTTTGAGCGACGATATTCCGTCTAAATCGTCCAAAACGGACGTGATTGCGAGGTCAACATCAACCTCCGTGAGCTGAGCGGCTTGTGCGTCAGCCATGTTGATGATTTATCGCGGAAAGACTGACTACGGCTATATCATGTGCGCTTTAGCGTTCGGTTCGCCGTCGGACATGTTGATGATAAGGCGTTCGGACGTTCGAACGGACGCTAACGTCGCCGTTCGGACGTCCGAACGGCCCTTACCTAATATGTACATACCCCAAAAAGGGCTTAGACGAGTAGGACCAATCAGCGCGCTCGTTCAAAATCTGAACGAATATTCAGACTCCAGACGCTACATATGTGTGCAAGTCCAGACCCAGTTA